TCACCATCATCACATCATCACCATCACCACCACCATCATCATCATCACCACCATCATCATCATCACCACCACCACCATCATCATCACCATATCACCATCATCACCTCATCACCATCATCATCACCACCACCACAATCATCATCATCACCACCATATCACCATCACCTCATCACCATTATCATCATCACCTCATCACCACCATATCACCACCATCACCATCATCTTCACCTCATCATCATCATCATCATCACCACCATCTATTTTTCATGGATGAAATAAAATGACACCTTAGAGGTGGATGTGTTACGTGGTAGAAGTATATCTTAAGGTTTTTAATGGAACTCAGTGTTTACTACGGGATTTTAGAGAGTTATTAACCCTGAAGAGGGATTATTCATGTCTTATTCATGGTTTATAAATGGATCATCGATGGAGAATTAGTGGGTCATGAAGGTGTTTTCGTGGTTTTCAACAGATCACATGGATACGTCTTTGTGCTTCCTGTGAACTCGTGACAATAATAAACCTCCCTCCTTATCTTCCTCCCTGTATCCTGACCTCAGCTCTCATGCGCAGCTCGTTAGATATTAAAAAAAAAACGTGCGTAAAAAGGTGTCCAGACACAGCAGGTGCGCGCGTGGCGCCTCACTCACCGATGGAGACCAGTCGGATGTGTTCCCTCTCCAGGAACTCCAGAGCCACGGATACGTTCTCCAGCTTCATCTGCCTGAAGTTGGGTCTGGAGTGATACTTCCTGAACATCTTTTTCTGGCTCAGAACCTCCAGCAGCCCGATGAGCTTCAGCCCGTCGCTCAGGTCCTTCTGCAGGTCGTTGATCCGCTTGTTGAGGACCTTCAGGTGCTCGTTGCACCACCTGGTGAAGGTGTTCTGCTGGATCTTCTTCCAAGGAGCGTCCTCGGCCAGGTCCTTCTCGGTGGCCGGCATCTCCTCCTCCTCCTCGCCGAGGTCCGCGGTGCTCTGGTAGAACTGCGGCGGCAGCTGCGGCTCCAAGTAGCCGCTGTTACTCATCATGGTGCCGCCACCTCTCCTTCTTATAGAGCCGGGTGGGAAGAGAAGAAAATAAAGAAAAGAGAGAAAAGAAGAAGAGGAGGAAGAGGAGCGCACAGCCTGCTGAGTTTCACACTTCACCAAAGTTTGAGTGGAAACGTGCGCTCCGGTCCGAGAGCAGATCCAGAGTCCGTTAATCTTCCGGGAGGAATAAGGAGTGACGGAAGGAACCAGGAGAATCAGGAGAGACGCGCTCCTCCTCCGGACACACTCGCTCCTGAGTCCGGGTCAAGACGCGCAGACGGCGGCCTGCAGAGAGTCGGGACTACGGCTCGAGGAGAAGTGGACCAGAGGTTTAAAAAGCTCGTCGTCACTCTGCCGGACTCCCAGGAATGCCCCCTCCATGGCCATATACAAGGAGAGCCGGGCATCCTCTAATCCGACGGAGATACGGGGGCCAAGGCTCATTGGGTGGCGGCAGGGCCAGGGGGCGTGGCCAGGCCTCCGGACCCCCCCACACACACACACTCTGGACCTCCCACCACCTCAGCAGGGCCCTGGGATCCACAGCCCCGGTGACACCTCCGGGTATTTTTAGAGGATCCAAACCGGAGAGAGAGGGGGGGATAAACTGGTGTAAAGAGAAAACATGACGTCATCTGACGTCCGCCAATCAGATCAGAAAAAAACACCTTTTCACTGTTCTTATAAACTGAATGATAAAAACATGAATTATCATTTTTATCGGCTGCACTCATTTAAAATTAAAGGAACAGTTAAAGGAACAGTTCACCATTTTGGGAAATTAAAGTTCAGTCTGTCATCAGTGCTCCGGATGATGTCATAGTGATGTCATGATGTCTAACTGGAGTTTATTAAGACTTTATAAAGATATAAAGTCAGAAATATAATCTACGTTACGTCTCTCTGACAGAGCCACGGTCAGATGCTTCTATACAAGTTATAGACTGAAAATATCTCCATCGTCATCATCTTCATCTCTGCTGAGATCACATTTCTGTCATGATGAGAGTAAAACAGCTCCGATGTGTAATTATAGAAACAAACTAAAATTAAAGCTGTGAGCGACTCATGATGCTCTCAGAGGGTTCAAACACACGGTCTGATAATAATCACACCAGTATTAATAAGATTAGGACCAACTACGTACTGAGATCCTGACATTAGCTCTTTCACAGTTATCAAATGACATAATGTAACATAACGTAATACAACGTAACATGAAGTGACAAAATGTACATACCGTAATACAATGTAACATAACGTAACACAACGTAATACAGCGTAATACAACTTAACATAACGTAACACAACGTAATACAACGTAACATAACATAACACAATGTAACATACCGCAATACAATGTAACATGAAGTGACAAAATGTAACATACCGTAATACAACATAACATGAAGTGACATAATGTAACATACCATAATACAATGTAACACAACGTAACACAATGTAACATAACGTAACACAATGTAACATAATGTACATACCGTAATACAATGTAACATAATGTAACACAACATAATACAACGTAATACAACGTAGCATAACATAACACAATGTAACATAACGTAACATACCGTAATACAATGTAACATGAAGTGACAAAATGTAACATACCGTAATACAACGTAACACAATGTAACATAACGTAACACAACATAAAAAAAGATATCTCAAATAAAACTAGTGGACATTAACGACAAGGAAAAACTATTTTATATTTGTCAGGTCATTTACAAAATGTACAGGCCCTTTAGACAAAATCAGCACAATTGAAAAAAAACGTATTCAAACATTAATGTTGTGCAGAAACATCACTGATACAATTAAATATTCTTTACAGAATCAGACACATAAATACAGAGAGAAACAGAATAATCCATCATCAAAACAGAAGCAGAACAGCAGCCAGATTACGACATGCTGGTTAATTTGGACTCAAAGTTTAGACGTCTAACTAAAAGCAGAGTTCGTACAGCGCACCTGAAACACCTGAAACAAACACCTGAAACACCTGAAGAACACAGCGCCAACACACAGAAATGCAGCCGTTACACAATCAAGCAGAACAGTAATCTCAAGAGTAATCTCAGAGTGCAGAGATGCTAAATTACAATGTAGTGTAGACATGCTCCAATGCATGTCTCCTTTTCACATTTATATTTCCAAACCTGGTTCGTGCTAAGCTTGGCTAAATATGATTTGTTTTCCTTGAATACTGAGCTAAGTTAAACACATTTTGATGTAACACACAAACAGTAGCTACAAACCAAAAAACATGAACTGTTTATATGGCTATGATAACAGTGGCTAACCACAAAGCTAGCAGTTGAAGTTGGATAAGCTGTTTGTAGCAACGACGACCTAAACTAGCCAAAGTTAATAAGCTAACGTTACATAACATTTTGTTAGCTGTACACCAGTTACCAACAAAGACAAAATATTCCATGTAAATCAGAGTTTTTCAAAGGTGTTTTGTTTTCTCTTTTGTTGGAGCTAGCCTAGCATGTTTCCCCTGTATCCAGTCGTTGTGCTAAGCTAAGCTAGACACGTCCTATTTCTGTACTGGATACTGGGAGGAAACTAAAACATGTGACCAAAAGGTTGTAAAAAATCTGACTTTTTTAACTTTTAACTACAAAGTTTGTAATAAAACAGTCTAAAGTAACTATGGAAGAATTTGATACAGCGTTCATGCTACCACTGTCAGCTAGTGAGCGTTGTCTAACTCTACAGCTGCTGCAGCGTCTGAATCTACTCGTCTAGTTTCATGCAAATTTGATACTTCTCTAAATCTAACATGCAACACTGCTGGCTACTGCACACGTTTTTTTAGAATACCACTAAGCTAGCTAACGCTTTTCAGAACACTAATAAACTAGTTTACGTTTGTCAGAACACCAATAAACTAGCTTACGCTTGTCAGAATACCAATAAACTAGTTTACGTTTGTCAGAACACCAATAAACTAGTTTACGTTTGTCAGAACATCAATAAACTAGTTTACGTTTGTCAGAACACCAATAAACTAGTTTACATTTGTCAGAACACCAATAAGCTAGCTTACGTTTGTCAGAACACTACTGAACTAGTTCACGTTTGTTAGAACATTACTAAACTCCCACACTCCTCTACACACTCCTCCACGATTCGCCACCTTAACATGGTGGAGGAGTTTGAGTGACTCAGTGATCCTGGGAGCTATGTTGTCCGGGGAAGTAGCCCCTGGTAGGGTCTCCCAAGGCAAACAGGTCTCAGGGGAGAGCCCAGACTAAGAGCGGTTCAAATAACCCTGATGATAAGCAGCCCACGGTCTTCAGCAACCTCGCCCGGACCAGGGAAACCGGGGCAGCCTCCCGGAGCCAGACCCAGGAGGAGAGCTCGTTGGCGAGCGTCTGGTGGCCGGGCCTTCGCCCATGGGGCCCGGTCGGGCTCAGTCCGAAGAAACAACATGGAGCAGCCACTCTGTGGACCCACCACCCGCAGGGACAAGCATCGGGGTCGGGTGCAATGCAGACCGGGCGGCAGGTCAGGCCGGAGGCCTGGGAGAGCCGATCGCAGGCAGCATGGACTAGATCTAGGTACGTGGAACGTCACCTCGCTAGCGGGGAAAGAGCCGGAGCTGGTGCAGGAGCGATACCAGCTAGATATAGTTGGACTCACCTCCACACACAGCATTGGCTCTGGAAGCAAGCTCCTGGAGAGGGGTTGGACTTTGTCCTCTTCTGGAGTTGCCCAAGGTGAGAGGCGCTGGGCGGGAGTGGGGATACTCAGCCCCCGGCTGAGCGCTGCTGTGTTGGAGTTCTCCCCGGAGAACGAGAGGGTCGCCTCCGTGCACCTACGGGTTGCGGGGAGCAAGGCTCTGACTGTGGTTTGTGCTTATGCACCAAACAGCAGTTCGGAGTATCCAGCCGTGATTTTCACGGACAGGATATCTAGGCGCAGCCGGGAGGTGAAGAACGTCAGGTTCAGGGGTCTCGGGATCGCCTCTCTGCTGTTTGCAGATGATGTGGTCTTGTTGCCCTCCTCGGATCATGACCTCCAGCATTCACTGAGGCGGTTTGCAGCCGAGTGTGAAGCGGCGGGGATGAGAGTTAGCATCTCCAAATCTGAGGCCATGGTTCTCTGCCGGAAACCGGTGGAGTGCTCCCTCCAGGTGGGGACGGAGTGCCTACCGCAAGCGAAGGAGTTCAAGTATCTCGGGGTCTTGTTCACGAGTGAGGGTAAGATGGAGCGGGAGATCAACAGGCGGATAGGTGTGGCTGCAGCAGTAAAGCAGGCGCTGCACCAGACCGTCTTGGTGAAGAGGGAGCTGAGCCGGAAGGCAAAGCTCTCAATTTACCACTCGGTCTACGTTCCTACCCTCACCTATGGTCACGAACTCTGGGTCGTGACCGAAAGGACAAGGTCGCGGCTACAAGCGGCCGAAATGAGTTTCCTCCGTAGGGTGGCCGGGCTCAGCCTTAGAGATAGGGTAAGGAGCTCGGTCATTAGGAGTCGAGCCGCTAATCCTTCATGTAGAAAGGAGTCAGCTGAGGTGGTTTGAGCATCTAATCAGGATGCCTCCTGGACGCCTCCCACTGGAGGTTTTCCAGGCACGTCCAACTGGGAAGAGACCCCGGGGAAGACCTAGAACACGCTGGAGGGATTATATCTCCCAGCTGGCCTGGGAACGCCTCGGGATCCCCCAGAATGAGCTGGAACATGTTGCCGGGGAGAGGGAAGTCTGGGTCAGCCTGCTTGGCCTGCTGCCACCGTGACCCGACCCCGGATAAGCGGAGGAAAATGGATGGAGGGATGGATATTTCTACACCAAGTCCAAATTAATTTAAAAGATATTCGAAAGAAGTCGAGAAGGAAGCTAAATCATTGTGGTTCTGTTGCTTCTTGGTAGCAAATAAAATCTTGCTGTCGGAAATTAGCGTTTAACAGAAATCCTTTAACAAGAGAAAGTGTTTACTTTTGTCTTGGATTTGGTGTTTGGGCTGTTTTTTTATTTCAGAATTACAATATGGACTCTTAAAAATAACAAAGAAGATAATATTAATTTAGATAAATATGTATTTCAGGAACCGTCATTATCAAAAGAAATATAAAAAAGTGTGCCCAGTTTCACTTGAAGTCAAGTATGAGCTGACTAATAACCAATAATCAGTCCATCCCCAGTATCTATTTCTACTGCTACTATTTGGCAAACATTTAATAAAACCTCTGAACTACATTCTGAACAGCTGTATGAAAAAAATATTTCTTTAAAGTGACTAAGAATCAAACTGAACAATTCTATGTACAGTACAAACTATTAGTGAGTAGTAATAAAATAGAAAGCCACATAAGTACAAAGTGCCATTAGCATGCAGCTTCAGGAAGATTTGATGTTTTTAAAAGCAAAAGTCTAAATAACAATTGTTCCTCAAATGCTTAATACATTTTTTTAAATTGTGTTTTAAATTTTTACAAATTATTAAAGACCTGCTTTGTCACGTTAATGCCACTTCGTCTGTCACTGTTCATCATTGTTCAGTCTTTTCTAATTCAGCACAATGTTTCACATATTTCGGCCATTATTTTGTTATATATTTAAATTGTCATCAGTGTCATATCACTGGTGCTTGTGTTTAAATGGGAATGTCTTTTATTATGAAGCTGTTAATATTTGGTCACATGCATCATCACAAATCAAGACAGTTTGTTTTCACAGTCATTCCAACGTCTGATTATATTTTCTATGATTATTTGGTCACCACTTAAATGTAAACAAGAACTATGAGTCAGGATCCATCTAAAAACTGAAACACGTCGATGTGCAAAAGAAGAGGGCAAAATGAAACGTAGGCAGATTGGTTTCGCTGGAGTTTAAGATCTGCTCAACGCTGTATCACAGCCCCATTCAGACAGGAAGTGTTTTCTACAGAGTAAGAACTACATTTATTTGGGCTATTTATGGTCTATTTATTGTCTTTAGGTCCATATTTCAGTTAGAACTCAAGCAGCAGTTATTTTATGGTTCCAAGCAAAGAAAGCAAAAATAAAGGTGTCCCACAGGGCAGTATTCTTGGTCCTCTTCTATTCACTATCTACAAAAATAATACATAAATAATCAGTCACTTCACTGTGTTCTTGTACACTTGAAGAAGAAGCCACCTTATTAATCAATAATGAATTAATTAAGGTCAACATCCAGTCTTGCTACCTTCTCTAGGACAACTTGTGCAGCAACATTTTAGCTCAGATTGTCTCGTTTTAAGGTTTGTAAATGTTATCTGCAAGCCTCTATCCTCGGTCCTCTTCTATTCACTATTATGTATAATCCTCCATCTGTATCCAAAATCATAAATCAACTGCTGTGCAAAAATATCTCTCTAAAATGAAAAGCAACTCTGGAACAATCTGAGCTTAAAACTGGCAGAGTGGAATCAGTCGTCACATAATGTGTCATCAGAATGATTCATCTCCTTAAGATTTAAATACGTTACAGCTGTAGATTAACATACTACCTGTTTGACACTGTAAACATACAAATACACGCATTTTAAATTGATTTGTAAAGGGATAAGTAGGTCAAATAAAGCGGAATATTTCCTTAAATTGCTGTTTTTCTCATGCTACAAAATACATCTGTTAAATAATCTACATTGATTGGTCCATTTTTGTCAAACACATAGTGAATAACATACAGCAGGAAGTAGGACTGAAGCAGAGTCAATGTGTTAAAACATTAAACAATCTCTTTTCATCTGCTACCGATATCTCAGCCAGTGCAAAATATTATATTACTCCAGTACGGAAACATAAGCAAAGAATCTTAGAGCTGAAACTATTCGTCAAGCAACAGAAAAGAATCAATTATTGGACTGATACTTGAAATACAAAACATTTGCTACTTTTATCTGTATAACATCTTTATAAATGCACCTTTTGGGTTTTGGACCAAATGATTAATCAATTATTTGTTAAATAATATAAATAAAAGTGATTGGAAGTGCAGCTCTAAAGGACTCCCGCCAGTAAAGTAATGTGTGATTGTCAAACAGCTGCCGTCATGACTCATGAGCAGGAAGTCTGCTTTCATTGGTACGTACAGAGGCTGCAGCAGCTGCTGGTGCTGATCACTTCTTCTTCTTCACTGACATCAACATTAAATCCAACGACTCCTGTAGAGTGAAACAAACACTGAACCACATCTACTGTAAACTAATGAGTACATTTACAAACGTACGGGACGGAAGTACAATCTGGAGGTACTTGTACCTTACTTTTCTATTCTATACTACTTGATACTCCAACACATTTCTGAGGGAAATATTATTCTATCTGCTACATTCACGACATTTATTTGACAAATTAAGTTGCTCTTAACTCTGAACGGTCAAATTTGACTTGCAAAACACATCAACTAATAAAACTCAATGATTATTTAATAGAATAAAGAATGAAATCATGAATATGAGCGGATCGGTCAAACAGAACCACCATCTGATCCACTTCTGGTTCTTCTTCTAACATTTAAAATAATGCAAAATGACAACTTCCAGTCAGGCTCTTGGTTCATGACGGTGGATGTTTGATCAATAAATCCACCGGCTGAGTCTTTATGGAAGACTTTCTGAATTCATATTGCTTCTCCCTCCACAACTCACTGACATCTGTGGCCTTCAGGTGAAAAGGACATCAGGACGTGCAACATGTATGAGGGCGGCGCTCCCACAATCCCAGAGTTCCCAGTGAGGTCACTTCCTGTGTAGTCCTCAGGCCCTGGTGAAGCTGGGGACGACCAGAACTACAATGGCTGCCACGGCAACCGCTGCCACCGCCAGGTTCCAGCCTTCGGCGTCGCCGCGCTGAGGAAGACAGGAAGTACGGTGAGATGATGACACGACTCCTGCACTCCCAAACGGGATCAGCAATAACGATTAGAGACAGAAATGTGGATCAAATCAACACTTTCACATTTTTCCACAACTTTCATGAAGATGAAATCTTGACGCGTGATTATTTTAAAATTCCTAAAAATAATTATGAAAAATTCAGAAGAACTTAATTAAACATTATCATATGTTGTCAATTAGTAAATGTAAAAGAACAAAGACATATAATAATAGTGAATCAGAACTAACTGAGCTTGAATTATTAACTATAGTTAAAGTGATGAAGATGATGAAGAAACTAAAAAATGTTGAAATCATCCCTTAGAATGAAAGATGTTGATTCAATAAATACATGATACTGGATTGAGTTTGACTTAATTTGAGACACTTTGATAGAGACTTTTATTTTGTCTGGGATCAGTGAGCTTCAATAGAACATCTTCATTCTTCAGGAGAGGATGTCGTACAGGCTGTGAAGCCCTCTGGGCCACGTTCACACACATTCAGTAGGTGTCAGCTTCATCTTGCTAGCTGCAATGCTGAGACAGCAGTTTGCACTGATGCTGCCTTGAGAGTTTTCAGACACGCTCAGAAATGCAATAACATGTGAAAAAGATCTTGCACAGCTCAAAGCCTCTGTGTTCATGTAGTTCTGTGGACCCTGTTTGTGCCGTTTAGCCACTTTGATTTCAGACTTGGTTGGAGCACATCTACTTTGTATGAAGCATACGGAGCCCTCTAATTGAAATGCTAGCGTTGATCTGCGGTGACCGTTAGCCTGGATGTGACCCCCTGATTCAGCCACTCTCAGTTGCTAAAAGAAGCAGAGTGTCTGGTAGAGAAAGAAGGGCGTGGCCATACCTGGTCCTCTCTAGGACGCCAGCTCCTCCCACCAGCACCAAATCAAGGCCACTATAACAATCATTCCTATGAAGGGGATGGAGAGGACAGGGGGCTCAGAAGGACCAGTGCAGTTCTGGGAAAAAGACAAAAGGTAGGAGTGTAGGGGGGGCATGGAGAGAGGGGTGTGGTAAGAGAAAATAAAACCATAAAATAATCAGAATGATAAAGTCAGAACGTGTCGGGAAGAAAGGCGAGCGTGGAGCAAAGAAAAACAAGAAAAGACCGATAAAATAATAGATAGAAATAAAGAGAAATATTGATAGGCAGGCAAGCATTAAAACCATCAAATTAACAGAGAATTTGATCAAGTTCATTGTGCAAGTTCGAGAGAGAAAGAAGTGACGGCAAACAGATAAAAACATGACGATGAAGGAAAGACGGAACCAGAAAGAGCAGGCAATTAGAGAAAGACATCAAAGACGGTTAAAGACAAGATGGAGAGCTCTGGTAGCAGTTTATCACCACCAGAGTAGTTCAAAACATCTACATCATGTCATTTAAAGATCTTTGTCGACACTTTGAAGTGCTGCCTTGCAATTGACTCGATCAGCAGCACTGCAGTGTGAGTAGAAGTAGAACTATGGAGGACAAGAATGTAAGTGAATGATAGAATGGCGAGGAGCAGAGGCGGGACCAAGTCACTGTTTACAATTCCCAAGTCAAGACTCACATGTTAAGACAGGAAAATTCAAAGTTTAGTCTCAAAACTTGACATTAAATTCCTGTGCAAAGTTCTTAGTCCGGTTCCACATTAAGACAGGAGAGTCTCCAGTCAAATCCTAGAAAGGCAAGTCCCAAGACAAGAAAATCAAATGATTGGTGCCCCTATGGATGGATGGCACCCCTATGGATGGTTAGCACCCTTATGGATGAATGGCGACCCCCTGTGGATGGTTGGCGACCCCCTGTGGATGGTTGGCGCCCCCCTATGGATGAATGGGCCCATATGGATGCTTGGCACCCCTACGGATGGATGGCCCCCCTATGGATGGATGCCCCCTCTATGAATGGATGGCCCCCCGATGGATGGTTGGTGCCCCTATGGATAGTCGGCCCCCCTATGGATGGTCGGTGCCCCTATGGATAGTCGGCCCCCCTATGGATGGTCGGCCCCCCTATGGATGGTCGGCCCCCCTATGGATGGTTGGCCCCCCTATGGATGGATAGCCCCCCCTACGGATGGTTGGCGTCCCCCTACGGATGGTTGGCGCCCCCCTACGGATGGTTGGCGCCCCCTTA